GGTCATGGGTTCAAATTCCGTAAAAGTCTGATTTTTTTTGAGGCCATATTTTTACTACTGCACAAGAAGATTGCTTACATATCCACGTCTTTATCTGCAGTTCACATATATAATTTTCATATATTTACAGTCATTTTTTATCCTTTGTGAGAGTTCTGGGCTGGTTGATTAGTACGATTTTAGTTTTAAAAGGTAATCTTTTTACCGGGTTGATCGACATTTCTGACCAACAAAATGATATAATATGTTTTCAGTACTGAAAATATTATTTAATTTTAACCATACTTACCACCTTCCCACGTTTGGGCGTAAACTGGCAGTGTGTAATTACCGTCTGTTATGCTAAAAGCTGCAATTTGCACCCCGTACGCAGTAAAGGGACTTAAGCCAGTTATAGTGACATGAGTGTCCTTCCTGCCCACAACAGTGACCTTACTTTGACTCGGAGAAGCTCTGGTGAAGTGCAAAACTCGATAACCTTGAACAGATTGCGCATCTAACCCAGAGATTGGACTCCAGGTTACGTCAATTGTGGAGGCGCTCGTACCCAGAGCCTTTACGTCCGTAGCAGTCTTTTGGGGGGCTGAAAGAGAGAAATATTTGGATTCTTTTAAGCTGAGTGCTTAGTTAGGTGAGTAAACGTTCAGGTGTCCTGGTCTGCTCCTCTAAGAAGATAGCTAGGCTCAATTTCAGCCTCAAAGAGGAGGATTGGGGGAGGAAGGGTCGCAGATACAAATTTTCTCTCGCCTTCCTTGAAGAGACTTGCACTAATCCTCTTGCTTATGTATCATCGGGCTGGTTACCGTGCAGCGAGAAAAGTTAGCCAAATGTCTTAGATTTATACCGTCGACACTCTTTAAGTTCACGCGTTTTCGAAAAGCTGAATGATAGCATAATTTGTATGTCATCTACTTTGGAAAAAACATTTTCTCACAAATTGGGAAGGGAGGTCCACTGGTATTCCAGGATCCCCCTGGCTGCGTCCCAAGATTGGCCAAGCTTCTGTACGCTTTTGAAGCCTTAAGAAATGAATTTTCGGATTGTTATCGTGAAACTAGTAATATATCTCGACCAAGCTCTATTCTTTTGTGAAGTACTCACGTAGCGAGATCTATTTCGTGTAATATGCTCTTCTCGGAGGTGGTGATGTTATGAAAAATGTTTATGGGGAGACGCCAGAAAATTTTTTTCCCTTTTTCATGATTTTCTTCCCCTTTTTCGGGGAAATCTGTGATTGATGCTTACCTGGGTCACCGATGGAAACATTGATCAATGAACTCCAAGGACCAAATCCTTTCCTGGTGAAGGCTCGAACCTTCAGACTGTAGTTGGAATATTGGTAAAGGCCCGTGAAAGATGCGGAGAGATTACGGCTGAGTATTGTAGAATTTCGCAAATATTCTCCCTCGTCATCGTAAATCTTTACCTGGTAACCTCGGATTATGCCCTTCTGAAGTTCTTTCGACACTGGCAGCCAAGAAAGTTTGATGCTGTTGGTGCCAGTAGGACTTCCTGTCACGTTGCTAGGAGGGCCTTGAGGCACTGAAATTTTTCAATAAGGTTCACTCAGGGGTGCAGTTTTAAAGTTCTGACTGGTTTAGCCACAGTGCATTTTAGTCATGGCTACACATAAAAATTAAGTCGTTCAGAATTACCTCTATTACTTTTATTGTCTTTTCAAATATCCTGTTAGCGATGACCATCGATATTTGTGTTGTCGCTAAGATATCAGTAACTGTATTTTCGCTCACTGGATGTCGGTGGCTAATCATTCAATCAGTTATTTATCGGGTTTGTCTGTTCATCGGCCAATAATTCAGCGAGTCTCCATCAATTAAGAGTCAAAGGGCTAGCCAGTTCGGTAACCGGTCGTCTCGCCTACGGGTCGTTTCGCCTACCGTCTGTTCGCCTACGTCCAATATGTCAGTTCGCCTACGATTTATATGTCAACGCTTTAAAACTGAATTGTTTAAAAGTCCTTATTGAACCTCGCAGAAAAACTGAGTATAAAGATGAAATAAACCACCGTTTACGGCTTTGTGTTAACTTGTGACTCGGGCGACCTATACCAAAGGAGGTGGGACTTTATAAATTAAAAATGTAGAGAACAGTTAAGGCGTTATGTGTGCAGACTTGCGACTTGAGCGGCCTATACTAAAGAATTCATTGTTGTGATATCAAATTTTCATGCGATGATTTTTCGAATATCATCAATTTTTGTTTCAATTGAATCAACTGTTTTATACAATGATTGTCATGGTACGGGGTTTAGGACGTAGGCGCACAGATGGTAGGCGAAACGAACTGTAGGTGAAACGACCGTAATTTGTCAGTTCAATAATAAGCAGATCAGTCATTCTAACAATTTCATCTATGAGTCGCACTATACTGACCTCCCTCGTCTGTCCAACTCTGTGCCGCACGAAAGGAACCATTTCCTTTCCGTGTATATCCCGCTACATATATAATGTACAGTGTATAAACTTCTAACTCTGTCACGTTCTTTTGGTTGATTAAGGGGTCGATTTTAAATACTGTGAAGTTTGATGTATCTGAATCGTCAGCTTTTTCTATCCGCAGCACATAACCCAGTAAAATCCCAGGGACACTTGCTGGCGTTAAAAGCTCCCATCGAACCATGATGCTCGATGAACTGCTATTGGATGCCGTTAATCGATAGGGAGGAGCTTTAAGAACTGCGACAACATGAGAATAAAATTAGGTTGGAATATGCTTGCCTCACTATACGATGAGCCGTTTGCCTCCACTCCACGTTCATACAGAGCTCAGTTTGATAGTGTGTCGTCAAACCAAAAACACAATAAACACAAGGGCATTTCAGAATAACTGATAACACCATAAAAAGAAGGCAATGAGAACATAAGCGAAAACAACTTGACTGCGTGAAGCGTAGGAAAAGGTGGGTGACTAAGATGTAGTTGGTTTTATTTTGTTACTTGATTAGTTGAGGGCGTGAGGACAACACGTAGCGTAGTGAATGGTAACGATGTTTCAACAGCTGGGTTAATTTTGAAGACTTTTGTTAACAAGAAACGGACCTTAACATCGATATGCATATTGTCCATACTGTTCTCTATACATTTTGACAATCAAGAACCTCTTTAGTTGGTGATCATTTCCCTGATTCTCGTTGTCATTTATTTTATTACATATTGTAAGAGGAAAATTGCTGCTTGTCACTCTAAGGGATCTAAGGGTCTGAGAGGATAGTACTCATCAAAGCTTTGAACTGGGAAGTCGAATGCATATGGTAAAGAATAGATAAGTAATAAAATAAATGACAATAATTCGATTGGTGTCACTGTACCGGCAAGAGACA